TTCTTGAAATTCTCTAAACTTGTACTCCCCTCCATTATCTGATCTTAGGCATTTTCAGTTTTTTTCATGTCTTCCTTTCTACCTCTGCTTTCCATTATTTAAACTTTGTGAATGCTTCACTTTTGTGTTTTATGAAGTAGACCCAGACATTTTTTTAGTAATCATCAATGAAGGTAATGAAGTATTCTGCCCCACCCTTGCATTTGATTGGTGAAGGCCCCCATACATCAATGTGTACATAGTCTAATATATCGTTGCTCATATGAACTACAGTTCTGAATCTAATATTGTACTATTTACTAAAAACACAGTACTTACGGAAATCCAGTTTACAAGCTCTGACACTCTTAAGCAATTTCCTTTTATAAAGTTCCATCATTCCTCATTCACTCAAATGCCCCAAACGCATATGCCCCAATTTTGTGTCATCTGTGCTGGACTGTACATCTGTGGTTACTTAAGCTCCACCTATAACTGTATTCCCTATCAACCAGTATAGGTTCCCAGCCATCTGACCTTTCATGACAACCATGGATCCCTTACTAACCTTGAGGACTCCACCTGTTGCTGTATACTTGCAACCATTCGAGTCAAGGGCCCCTAAGGATATTAAGTTTTTCTTTAATTGTGGGACATACCTCACATCTAATAAGATTCGCACTATCCCATTAAACATATTGATTTTGATAGTTTCTATTTTAATGGTTTTGCATACTGCATCATTCCCTATTAGAATAGACCCACCACTATATGATTTGTAGATTTCGAACCAATTTCTATTTTGACACATGAAAAGAACAACTACAACCTAAAATCTAAGAATAAATTAATTGATTCTTACCTGAAGATATAGAGGGAAGATCTCCATTATCTCTGTCAGAGCTATTAGCCACGCTAGCTTCATTAGATGTTTTTCTCATTTTTACCCTCTTTATATCCTCATTTCTTTTCGGGTAGTCTCTCTTCATATGACCTTCGTTTTTGTAGTAATAGCAAGTAAATTTGCCATTCCCCTTTGATTTTGACCGACTTCTGCTTCTAGACCTCTTTTGATTTGATCTGCCCCTTTCGTGACTCTCTTTGTGTTTTCCAAACAAACCTTCTCCTTGATATTTAATATTGTTAGTCTTCTTCCTTGTCTCGTTTGACAAAAGAGCAGCAGTAACTTCGTCCATTTCAAGAGTCTCCTTCATGTATAGTAGAGTCGTAACCAAGTGATCATATGATCTTTGAAGCGAAGCCGCATAAGTAGGGCATTGTCTTCATCCTTGACTTCGACCTCACGCCTTGTTAACTGGCTTATGATCTGGTTGACTTCGTTGAGATGTTCAAGCAGATCTGTGCCTTCTTCCATCTGAAGAGAATATAACTGCTTCTTCAAGAACAACTTGTTCGTCAGAGATTTCGTCGTATAGATACTCTCGAGTTTTGTTCAATCCTCCGGAGCAGTTTCGAGGTCCATCACATAACGCAAGGCGTCATCTGATAGATTCAGACCAATCGTGCTTACTGCATTTTCCTCAATCTCTTGCCACTCTTCATCATCTATCTTTGTTGGTTTCTTCAATTTCCATAGCAAAGTCTTAATCAGACCTTGTTGTATTAGAAGATCCTTCATCATTCATCACCAAAGAGTGAAGTTGTTCTTTCCATTGAACCTCTTAATGTCATACTTGATGCTTGAGCCCTCTCCTGTCATCGTGATAGCAAACCCCAGAAAGTAGAAAAACCTGGTAGGCTCTGATACCAATTTGTAGAAAACCCTAAAAGCAATCCACGAAGATAAGAAAGAAGAAACAAACACAAAATAAAGATACAACCAACCACAACACAAAGATATACGTGGTTCGGCAACGTGCTTACGTCCACAAGAGATGAGAGCTTTTTTACTGGCAATGGAGAATAGGGTTACAATAGCTCTTTTCCTCACACCGATCTGTTCTCTCTGATTACAAATAAATCTGTGTTTTTCCCTTAACCCTAAAAAGAAGCCCCAAGCTACAATATATAGAGTTCCGTACAAATTACCAAAATACCCTATGTACGGATACAAAGAAATCCGGAGTTGTCTTTATAACTCCACCTTTGTCATACAAGACATCAATCCTCAACAGCCCCACCCTTGGATGTATGTACAGCTGACAATGGCAAACTGATTAGCAACGTGATCTGCAGGGATCTCAAATACGTGATGTAGATAACCACTTTTCAAGCTGAGGTGCGGTTGTTGCCACTCGGCAGATGTGTTTTGGTCTTGGGAGTAAAGAGACGAGTTATGTTGGGCACCATAGTATGGGACTTATCACGGCTATGAATGGAGTTTACCCTTGATGGAAAGAAACACGTGTTACGTGGGGCTCATAAGGCTACAATACGCCTTGTTGATCCATCTCGCATGCGTAAGCTTATTAGCAAAGGGGGAAAATGAGTGTTGGCTCTGCTTTTCTCTTTGACTATAGATGAAAATGAAGGGTTGTTGATCTAGAAATGCAAGCATTTTTGTCTGAGTATGAAGACATCTTTGCGGAATCGATAAGGCTACCGACAGAGCAGACCCATGACCATTGGATTCCCTTGCTTTCAGGGAGCCAACCTACAAATGTACGGCCTTATTGGTACCCCATATGTGCAGAAGAATGAAATAGAAAGAGGTTTGTGCGTGAAATGCTTGAAGTTGGTATTGTTCAACCCTATACAAGCCCATACTCTTTGTCGGTCTTACTAGTTTGAAAAAAGGATGGTTCCTGATGTATGTCTATTAATTATCGTGCCTTGAAACGGCTCACCATCAAAGATAGATATCCAATTCCGGTGGTGGATGAGCTCTTAGACGAGCTACATGGTGCTTGCTTTTTCTCCAAGTTGGAACTTAGGTCTGGCTACCACCAAATCTGGTTGCATGAAGATGATATGCATAAGACGGCGTCCCGCACTCACGAAGGACATTATAAGTTTCCGGTGATGCCGTTTGGGTTGACAAATGCAACATCCACTTTCTAGAGGCTTATGAACGATGTATTTTGGCCCTATCTTTGCCAGTTCATTCTAATATTTTTTTATCACATTGATCTATAGATCGATGTGCACAAGACGGCGTCCCTCATTTACAAAGGACATTATGAGTTTTCAGTGATGCCGTTTGAGTTGACAAATGCACCATCCACTTTCCAAAGGCTTATGAAGGAGGTAATTTGACCATATCTTCGCCAGTTCATTCTAATATTTTTTTATCACATTGATCTACAACTCATGCTAGTCTGACCACTTAATACATGTGACGTGCACCCTTAATGTATTTCAGGAATACAAACTATTCGTAAAGTGCTCAAGTGCATGTTTGGGCATTGCGAGCTCCATTATCTTGGCCATATTATTTCAGGTGATGGAGTGGCAGTTGATCCATTTAAGATCATTAGCATGACTCAGTGGCCTAAACCAAAGATGATCAAGGCCTTGCATGGGTTCTTTAGTTTGGCTGGATATTATCAAATATTTGTGAAGGAATATGGAAAAATCAACAAGCGGTTAACTGAAATGCTAAAAAAGAAGTGCTTTTTATAGTTCCGTGAGGCTGAGCAGGCTTTTGAAGCACTCAAGGTGGCCATGATCAACACATAAGTTCTTGCATTACTAGATTTCTCTAAAACCTTTGTGGTGGAGTGTGATGCTTCCTACCTTGATTTGGGAGTGGTGCTAATGCATGAGGGACGACCCATAGCCTCCACAAGCAAGGCTCTTTCTAGATGCAACATGGGCCTCTCTACCTATGAGAAGGAGATGTTAGAAGTTGTAGATGCAGGCACCAAATGAAGACCATATTTGTTGGACCAATATTTTAAGATCCATACAGATCATCATAGTTTGAAATTCATATTGGATGTCTCCATATAAGGTGGTTTATGGTCAGTTACCTTTGAAACTGATACCATATGTCACAGGAGCTACTAATGTTGATGTGGATAGAAATTTGTTAGCTCGAGAGGTTGTTCTCCAGCTACTAAAACAGAATTTGGAAGGGCCCAAAACCATATGAAGCAATAAGCAAGCCGTCAATGTTCGAAATACGAATTTGAGGCTAAAGACCTAGTATATCTTTGTTTACAGGCGTATGGACAGTCCACTATGGCAGTTCGCCATGCCATGAAGCTGTCTCTGAGATATTATAGCCCTTTTCTTGTCATTCAATGAATTGGGAAGGTGGCATAAAAGTTGCAACTGCCCACCGGGTTTCATGTGCACCTAATGTTCCATATATCTTGCCTAAAAAAAAAGTTAGGTAATTGTGTTCTTCTGCAAGACAACTTGCCTGAAACTGATGAAGACAGAACATTGAAGCTTGAGCTAAGGATGACAACGGGTCAGGTAAGGGTTTGGGTCCAACATTCAGGTCCAGGTTTTGGACCCAGACCCGACTTGTCGTGTCCAAAAGTTGGATCCATACCCATAACTGTCGGGTCCTGGATCTATTTTGTTGGGTCTCGAGTCTATCTCATCAGGTCCCAAGTCTGATCGGGTCCATTGCCATTCTCACTATGAGCTTCCTTTTTTTTTTGCTCTTTCTTACCATCATATACCCAAATTATTGGCAACAAGGTCACAACTGCCATTAGATTTCAAGTCATATTATTTGTCGTTTAATAGCTAAAGATGATTATGAATTCTTATAGTATAAGATCCTTAATGCCCCCAAATGAATAGAGCTTGAAGTATTTTATCTCCAACAGTTTACGGGTACATGTTGGGTCCAACCGAACCTAAACCCAAACCCGAATAGTGTTCTTGTCTAGGTTTTGGATCAGGACCCGACCCGCTAGGTCTATGAAATGAAAAAAAAAAATCAGAAGCTCATCCGTAATTTTATTACACCAATCAATTGACACAAATCCCCCAATATTAACCAGTTATATATGTACATGACGAGAGAGAGAGAGAGAGAAGAAATTCCCAAAACATGTGCCAATTTTGTGGAACAAATTCACATAATCTCAAAATACAGGAAAGGTTTAGAACGCGATCATCAAAATTGGAATAAGGAGAGGTACATAAAAAATAATTATATTCGCGTTATGTAAAAATCTTGTAACAGAGTCCAACTACGTAACCCAATTTCTCAATATCCATGTAAAATAGAAATAAGAATATGAATAAAAACAAAATTAATAATAATTTTATTGTTCCTTTTCGTCATTATCATAATCAAGAGAGAGCGCCATGGTTGTGGAGCTCAGAAGTCTTTGAGCACCTTCCTGACCTGCTCAAGCGTCACGAAGAGCACCACAGTGAACGGCCCCTGTCTCGAAATGGTGGGTATAAACCCCTTGTAAAGGGCCATCGGCCCCTCAGCCCTAACCGTCTTCACCGCGCAATCGAGCGCCCCAGCGTAGGGCGGCGCCTCCCCCTCCACCACCCTCATATTCATCACCCGCGTCTTTATGACGTCCACCGGATTCGACGCGACAGCGGCCACAAACCCGGCTGTAAAACTCGCCACCACGTGCGTTCCCAGGCCGTCGCTCATCAATCCGTTCCCAATGATGGCTTCCTTCGCCTGATCGTAGGTTGCCAATTGCGAGGCAGTCACGATCATGGCACGTTGCACGGTGAGGGAGGAGCCGCGCCACAGGGCGGTGATGCCCTCGCCACGGACCATTTGGGAGATGGCATCACCCACGCCGCGGTAGTTTCGGCGCTGCGCTAGGGGGAGGCGGCCGTCGGCCTGCATGCGGACCATTGCAACATCAGCCGGGTTCCCAATCGCAGCGCCAATGCCACCTGCAATGAGGCCGGCTGTAATCTTCTTGGCTAAGGGCAGGCGGCCTGTTTTGGGATCAGACCAGCTCTGCTTCATTGCATCGTAGAGGCCCATGCGAGTGGTGGAATAAAGCGTCTGGCGGAGCATGGTGGCCGAGACGCCGGTGAAGAGGGCTGCAGCACCCTCCTGACGGATGATTTGGAGGCCAACAGAGATGGGCCCAGGGCGTGGCGGGGCAACAGCCGCAACGGTGGCTATGTTCGGGGTGGTGAAGGCAAGGGCAGGCTGGCGGGCGGCGATGGTCGCAGCCTGGCGGGCGGCCGATGGGGCCTCGCCTTGGAGCTGCATTCGGACCTTGATGAGGTCCAGAGGGTGGGTGGAGCACCCCGCCACAATGGAGGCGATCCCACCTTCTACAAAGCCTTTCAGACCCATGTTAAATTAGAAACAATGGATTCTGCAAAAAGGGTTAGGATGTTTAAAAAAATGGGGGCTTTCTGTATATTTCGAAAACACAAAACAATGGGAAAACAGGGGTTTAGGCCACTACGAGGAGGGGCCTTGTTTTTCTGATTTTAGGGTTAGGGTTTTTATTGGGACCAGTTGGAACTGGGGTTCATCTCACTGGAAACCAGGAGATAGGAATGAAGGCAGAAAGCGCTGGACGCTGGGTGTGGGTTGTGATGCCTCTGAGACATATGATTTCGAAATGGAATGTTGAGGGAAGACAAAAGGGAAGAGCCATTTATAGGTGCAGAAGAGAGAGAGAGAGAGAGAGAGAGAGAGAGAGAGAGAGAGAGAGGGAGACATATTATTATCTCACAGATCGACTACGTGTAGTAGAAGTTAATTAGTTATTAGTAGTAGAGTAGTGTGACTAATTAGTTTAGAGAGAAGAAG